AAAATTATATTTATTAGTTTTCTACTTCTGCCATCTACTTTTTACTATTTAATTCCATAGTTAAGCATTCACTAAATAGATTATACCAAGATTTAAAATGCAGGGTGCCTGGCTGGCTCAGTTGGAAGAGCATGCAACTCTTGATCCTGGATTGTGAGTTTGAGCCCCACATTGGGTATAGAGATTACTTAAAAAATAACAAATTAAAAAAAAATGCAATCTTACTATAAAATGCAGTGTTCTAGCATAGTAATAAGGAGTTTTGACTTAAAGTAAGTTGGTACTATGCCCTTTGTTTGTTAAGGTCATAGAAAAAAAGAACTAAAAGACACAAAAGAAATTGGAAAGGTGAAGATAAATTTGCATAAAGAATGTGAAAACCTTTTTTTTCTTTTAGTTTTTTTAAAAATGTGGGCAAACTCAACAATGCATCCATTTCTGTAGGCTGAAACATAGTGAACAAATACTATTCAAATAAAGGTTAATTTAAAAGTAAACATCATGGAACTTGCATTATCATTTTTTCTAATGCAAGATTTTCTTAATCTACATTGGCTTTTATTGTAAACGACTCATTCCACAGAGCAATGCTGTTGGAAAAGCTGATTTTTTGTCACACTGCTTGCCAAGTATTTTGAACTGACAAGAGCATTGACTAATGATAGTGCTGGAATGTGCTGTTCTCAGTAGAATGGAGACCCGTACAGACCTAGGAGTGTCCTGGGGTCCAGCTTCTGTCCATCCAGGGGGTTGGTGCCATACAACAGTGAGTGATGTTCAGAATGAACAAGCTGTATTTCCTCCAGGCTGGCTTTTCGACCTTGAATTCGCTGAAAGAAAACAGCAGAAGCCTACAGTACTCCACTGACAACATTTAGAAGAAAGTAAGACCTAAGTCACATTTAAGATGATTAACAATTAACCGAATTTCATCATGCAGGAATGTGACACTGATTTGCTTAGTAAAGTACCATAACAACATTTGAAAAATGGAGTGTATGTAAGGTTCAGATCCTATGGATTGCTTATGCCTAAATAGGCAACTGACATAAAGCATAGTCTTCTTTGGCATAAAAAATAAATCTATAATAAAAAATTTAATAGTTAACTCCTTTGTAAAAGTATCCGCTAAAAACAAACAGCGGCTAAAACAATAAAAAACAACAACAACAAAAATATGGGCTACTGTTTGGCTGAGAAGTAAATTCATTAAAATCTTATTTTACACTCACCTTTACAAGTTGTTGGAACAAATTCTTTATTATTTCCTAAAGAACGTAAGTACCAATACATTTTAATGTATTTGATTATCACCAAAATGCTGATCACTTCATGTGTGTGCACCTCACAGAACTACTAATCTAGATCAGTATTTCAAAGTGTGTCCTATGGGGTCATAACATTTCAGGAACTGTTCATGAACTGTCCATGATGAGGTCTATATAGAAATTCAGAGTAGATATTTAGAAACTTTTACAGTAATTGGAGAGACTATTTTTATGTCTATTGAATCTAATATAATCTTGGTGCCTTCAATTTTTATTTTATTTTTATAGTAATTCAATGTATTTTATAAAACCACTAGTCTGTGAGAGAATAGAAATTAAACAAAAACAAAAACTGCTGTTTAGCAGAGATAGTCTGACACACTCCAGACTCAGTCAATGTTTTTATGCACATCTTAGGCAGAAACTTGCACTTCAACTAACAAACCATGGTCCTTCAACATAGAAAAAATTATACATTAAGTGAAACCTCAGTTAGTCAATATGCAAAGTATTCTTCCTGGCCACATTTCTCAGTTGGCATACCTATAAGCCCAATAAACATCATGTTGGGGATGCCTGGGTGGCTCAATCAGTTAAACAACTGCCTTCGGCTCAGGTCATGGTCCCAGGGTCCTGGAATGGAGTCCCACATCGGGCTCCCCGCTCAGCAGGAGCCTGCTTCTCCCTCGCTGCTCCCCCTGCTTGTGAGCGCGCGCTCTCTCTCTCTCTCTCTC